ATGCGTCTCATGCGCAATGCTTGGCTGTACGGAATGTTTTTTGTACAGTGCGGGGGGTGACAGCTGCTAGGGAGCAGGTACATATGCTTATCCGTGGGTTTACGGAAGAGATCAGTTTTAAGTGCACCATTTTCCATGGTCACGGTGATGTCCAAAAAATCTACACTGCTTGTGGATTTGTTAGCAGTGAATTTGATTGTGGGATGAGCCGAATTAATGTTCAATAGGAACGTATCCAAACTATCTTCACCATGGGTCCAGATCATAAAGATATCATCAAAGTAACGAAACCAAACATCTGATTTCTTGAGCTGTAGGGACAGGAAATTGGCCTCAAATTGTCCCATAAATAAGTTAGCAAAAGATGGAGCCATTTTAGTGCCCATCGCTGTTCCATGAATTTGTAGGTAATGACCGTCGCCGAAAACAAAGTTATTATTGGTCAGAATCAGCATGATAATTTCACATAGATGTGATTTAGATGGGGTTTTGCCCCGAATTTGTTTGTAATTTGAAATGCACGCATTAACACCTTCTTCATGAGGGATATTAGTATATAATGACGAAACATCAAGTGTAGCCAGAACAGTATTATTAGGTAAATTTGAAATTTGGTTAATTTTGCGGATAAAGTCCGTGAGGTCCTGATGTACGAGGGGAGAGCAACAACATATGGTCTCAATAAATCATCCACATATTCAGAGATTTTTTCTGTAGCAGTACCGTTGCCCGAAATGATGGGTCTGCCAGGATGGCCTGCTTTGTGGATTTTGGGTAGGACATAGAAACGTCCTGGTGCTGGATCGACCTGGATGAGATGGGGTCCAATTTTGGGAACGATGGAACCTTTTTAACCATCTTAAATACAGATTTTTTCACTTCCTTAGAAATTTCCGGAGTGGGGTCCTCTGTGAGCTTCCGATAGTTAAGAGGATTGTTTAGTTGTCTTAAGGACTCCTCTTCATAGAATTTAATGTCCATATGTTAGTTTGTTTTATCTTCATGTAGATTCCAGTGATGGTAAAGTATTGGCGTAAATTGGATAAAGAAGGGATTCTTGAGGAACATCTAGTACGTTATTTATGGAAAAATGAACTTACTGGCAGTCACGATGACAATGACGTCTTTGAAGACTGCATTGAACTCATGAAGACGTTTGGGCTTCTCTTTGAAAAGGTAGGTTATTGCTAGGATTATTGCAACTACAGACAACCATTTATGTTTACTTACTAGATATGTGATAAACTTTCGTAGGCCTGAGCCTCTATATGCCTATCAGGCTGTAAATTTTTGATTATATGGATGTTCTATTATATAATTAAATTTAGTATTTTTTATATATTTTGGTGGAAAAATACTATTGGTTTGTAGAAGTTGGGAGGTGACCAAATTATAATGTACATTTTGCACCTCATATTGATTGATATAAATTTTTTTTTTCATCGTTTATAAATAAAGAATGCACCAGAAGTGGATGCTCGACTTTTTGTCGTGCCTTCTCGGATGAAGACCATGCCTAATAATAGATTGGAGATTAAGAAAGACAATGAGCAGACAGTATCCATCTATGTGACGCCTAAAGACTTTCTCCCCGATGCCGTCTACGATGTCTTGGTCGTTAGATTTGTAAGCTTGAGTCAGGATAGGGGTTGCCGTGGTGACCCTAAATTGTTTCAGAATAAGGCTGAAATTATATTCGATGATAAGCATTGTGTGAGACTAGGTCGGATTTTCATTGACAACAAACAGTCTTTGAAAGTAAGTATGTCTTTTGTTTTTAAAATTTGTACTTCTAGAAAAAAAAATAAAGATTTTAGTCCTGTCCAGCTTGCGCAACAAGAAATTTATATTTTGCCTAAGAACATACTTTTTTTTTCAATATTCAGTGTTGTTAAACATGCCTACTATTAAATTATATATTTGTTAGGCCTTTTGCTGTTTTTGTTCATACCTTTAAAATATAGAAATAAATTGAATTACAGTAAATTTCGACCATTTTTAAGCAAATATATATATGAACTAAAATGAGCAAAGTAAAATAATTCCGCAGAAGATGGTTGACAAATGGACAACGAATCTCTCGTGAGTCCATCTAATACCCCTTTTACACTGCAAGAAAAATTTTGAATTTTCCAGTACCCAGGTTAAAATCTCTCAAGTTGTGGTTAGTGTAAATGTCAAAAAGTCCGACTCGGGTTGCTAAACATTCCGGGATGGACGTGCAGGACGCATTCAGCGTAGGACAACCTGGGTGCATTCTGAAGTTGCCAGTGTAAACAGCACCAAATTTGTTTCCGGAATTAGGCCTTACCTTGGTGCCTACTGCAGCTATGGTCATGTAGGCCTAAACTTTGCTAACAACGGGCTAGGCCTAGACTCTTTTCAAATTAAACCCTCTACGCTCCGGTATAGGCTTGATATGAAAACTGCCTATTTAATGATTTTATTTGCATAATTTAAAAAAAATCTGCAGGTGCATTTCTTCAATATTGACAATAATTCTAGCTTTGTGATGACGAGGAACTTGAGCGAAGTGATGATCGCCATCGCAACAAAAATTGAGTGCGCTATTTGAACCCGAGTTCGTTGCCGGTGTAAAATGGGAGCATCTCGGGATCAACCAGGACTTTTTCATTCGATGTAAATGCGAAATGCACCCGGGATCACCCCGGAATTAACACGAGTTTATTATGCCCTTGGCAGTGTATTAAAGGGGTATTAGTCACTCCAATTTATAGATATTACAAAATATTGTAAATTAAGGTAAAAGAAAGTAAATAATTTCAATTAAGTTTTGCGAAATATATTACTTTCTGCAGCTTGAAATATCACGGATGAAAGAGCGAGACGAACACTGTGTGGACAAGCCAACGTGCAAGCCGCATCCCAGCGTATGTACAGAGGTAATGACGTCATTAACTGTTTGGTCATGTAGATTATAATTTAGATTTAATACCAAATGTCCCCCATCAATCGACGCCCATGGATTTAATACCAAATGGCTAACCATCGTATTATATAATATGAAATATTAAAATGTTATTCAATTTCTTTGTTACAGGTTTTGAACATGTTAAAGCAACATCTAGATGAGGTATATCCGTCTAAGAAAGTTGTTGGCTATTCTCTGAACATACTTTGCTTTGTCTGCGTGAACCCAGAGACACCACACTTTCAAGAACTTGAGTACTGCTTAAAGAACGAGTATACAAATTGTGATAAAACAGGAGAACTTATAGTAATGCCAACAGCTAAAGTACAGAATCTATTTGTGGCAGGTATGCGATTTGTTTTCATTTATTTTGAAATTATTAAAAACAAGTACTGTACAGAAACTGATGAGAATGAAAAACAACAAAATTTCAGGATAACATCTTAAACATTTTTGCTTGTTTCTGAGGAGACCTTGTTTATGGGGTTGATGTTATTGAAATAATAGTTGCTGCGAAGCAGCCAATTCATATTCTTGACAGCAATTTGACCTCTGAAAGGTCATTGTTTGTCAAAAATCAATCGCCTGAGACAACTGAAAAGCGGAGTTTCCTTCTTTCGTTCTGCCGGGT